TCAACAGTTCAATTTTTTAACAGTCTCACTGCCCGCGGGAAGAAAACTGTCTCCGAATCTTCTTGTCCTTGCCAGGATGCTGCGGTAACGTCTGCCAGACGGCAACAGAAAGAACAGTTTGTGGCTGGGGTGATGGGGTCTTTGATAATCCGTAGTGATTTCTTCCTGAGCCGCTGGGAGTAAAGGTCCTCCATGGATGGCAGCTCCGTCCTGGTGATGTTTCTGTGCAGTTTTCACCACCCTCTGTAAAGCCTTACGATCCGAGGTCGGTGCAGCTGCCGTACCAGGCCGTCATGCTGCCAGTCAGGATACTCCTCTATCGTGCACCTGTAGAAGTTGCAGAGTATCCTGGAATCCATTTTGAACCTCCTCAACCTGCGGGGGGGAGAAGAGCCGCTGTCGAGCTTTCTTGGTGATGGTGGTGGTGTGAAGAGACCATGTCAGGTCCTCAGTGATGTGGACCCCAAGGAACCTGAAGCTTTTGACTCTCTCCACCGTAGTCCCATTGATGGCGATGGGGGGTGTGTCCTCTCCCTGCTGCTTCCTGTAATCCACAATCAGCTCCTTTGTTTTGCTGATGTTGAGATGGAGGTTGTTATCCTGGCACCAAGATGTCGGGTTTTCGACCTCCTCTCTGTACGCCGTCTCGTCATCCTCTGTGATCTGGCCGATGACGGTCGTGTCATCAGCAAACTTCACGATGGTGTTGGAGCTGTGTGTGGCCACGCAGTCGTGGGTGAACAGGGAGTAGAGGAGAGGGCTGAGCACTGCAGCCTTGAGGGGCACCGGTGTGAGAATCAAGGTGGAGGATGTGATGTTCCCACCTGCACTGCCTGGGGTCTGCCCGTCAGGAAGTTCAGGATCCAGTCGCAGAGGGCGCTGTTGAGTCCGAGGTCTCTGAGCTTGATGGCCAGCTTGGAGGGCACAATGGTATTGAATGCTGAACTGTAGTCAATGAACAGCATTCTCACTATGTGTTCCTGTTCTTCGGGTCCAGGTGTGAGAGGGCAGTGTGGAGGGTGAGGGCTATGGCGTCGTCAGTGGACCTGTTTGCTCTGTAGGCAAACTGCAGGGGGTCCAGAGAGTCAGGAGGGAGGAGGTGATGAATGATTTGACTAACCGCTCAAAGCACTTCATTATGGTGGAGGTGAGTGCTACTGGGCGGTAGTCGTTGGGGCAGGTGATGATTGTCTTTTTGGGGACAGGAATGATGGTGGAGTGTTTAAGACATGTGGGGACTACAGACTGCAACAGGGACCTGTTGAAGATGTCTGTGAACACCTCTGCCAGCTGAACTGCACACACCCTGAGAACACGGCCAGGGATGCCATCAGGTCCAGGAGCCTTGTGTGGGTTAACCCTTTTAAAGGATGTACACACATCTGCCCTATTTAAAACAAAAGGGCAGTGTAGCTCCTGGTCCCTCTGTACCTCCACAGCCCGGCTGCTCTCAAAGCGTGCAAAAAAACTGTTCAGCTCATCTGGGAGAGATGCGCACGCAGACACTCCCGCAGCACCCCCCGCTGCTCCTTTGTAGTCAGTCATTGTCCTTAGTCCCGCCCACATATTCCTAGTGTTACAAGCCTTTGAAGTCAGATTCCACCTTTTTCTTTGTACTGTCTCTTTGCATTTTTAATTGCTCTCCGGAGATCATACCTAGACTTCCTGTACTCCTCCAAATCTCCCGCTGTGTGCGCGATAGTGCGCGCTTTCAGTTTGCTGCGCACATCGCAGGTTATCCAGGGCTTTTGATTTGGGAATGTCCGTACAGAAACCTTCGGTACCACGTCATCGATGCATTTCCCAATGTAGCAGATGACAGTGTCCGTGTGTGTGTTGATGTTATTGTCCTCAAACACACTCCAATCCGTGGATGCAAAGCAATCCTGCAGTGCCTCATCTGACTCCTCGCTCCATCGTTGTACTGTTCTTGTAATCGGTCTGTCCCTTTTAAGTTTCTGCTTGTACGAAGGCAACAACAGTAGTGAGATATGGTCTGATTTGCCGAAGGGAGGGCGAGGGAGAGCCTTATATCCATTCCGGAAAGGGGAATAAACATGGTCCAGTATGTTATCCCCGCGCGTCGGGAAGCTGATGTGTTGGTAATATTTTGGTAATCAGTCTGTGACATCATTGGGCCCAACATCCTTTTCCCATTGACTTACATTGGAAAAGAGATGTCTGCAGTGGCGGCCGGCCCATAGGGGCGCTAGGGGCGCCGCCCCCCCTCTTCCCACATGTTTGATTGTCATTCAAATTAAAAAATATATTAAAAAAATATATATAATTTGTATTTGTAATGAACAAGGTAAATATTATATAGTTGGTATCAGTAAAATGTATAATCTACAATAAAATCTCGTTTAAAATTGTGTTACGATGTCTAAAGTTACTGATAAGTCACATGTTTCCTGCCTGGCCGCAGCGTGTATCATTACCATGGGTTGCGGTCGAATAGTCCATTTAGCTTAGGAACCTTCCTAACGGAGTGAAATGACCCGGAAGTCCCTCAGTGGCAGCCATGATAAGTGCCGTTCGAATTCTCTAAATGAAAGGAAAGGAGGTTTCAAACTTCCTTTATAACCTCCTTTAGCTTAGGAACCACTGGACCTCCCTAACCGAAAGGAGAGGAGAAAATGCTGCCCCACAATGCCTTGCGGCCGCCGTATTTGCCATCACACATCAGTCGGCCGTTCACGGAAAACAACCGATTATGAACGAGAAATGATATCATGAAAGTTACAGTGCTTATTAAGCATTTTAAAACGTATGTGGTAAGTTGCCAAAGTGCTTTGTTTTGAACGTTCATCAGTATTATAATCAAAAAGAGAAATATGAACGTTAGTTTTTTACTGAAATGATCAAATAAAGTCAACATTTCACAGTCTTTACTGAGCTGTGTGGGGTGTTGTTCAACTTTTAAAAGATGTTGAATGGTGATATACACAGTGATAGATGTTAAGGACTAACGTTTATAATAAATACATTTGTATTGATTTTAAGATCTTTTCATACAGTCATACGTATTGGGATCATTTGTATTAATGTGGACCGGAGGGAGAGGGGTGACGAGCATAAGTTTCACTTTCCTTTTTTATTTCAATTCCAACTTTGGTCATGAAGAATATGTTTCTCTGTTGTCCCCGTTCATAAAGCATAAAACAACAGCATCAGAGCACGGTGCAGAGTCTCTAGATGAGTTTACAGTAGTCCCTCGTTCTTATTAAACATCCATGTGGTAGTCCGCTGTATAGAAAACTGTAGTTTCCATAGTTTCCCCACAGCAGCAGGCGCACATTTATGACCTCTGCTGGCGCATCATAAACACGTCGGATAGTGAAAGTGCAGTCGGATTCTCTAAAGTGCCGCAGTCTCTTCTCCTAAATCCTTTTGAATTCTCCTATCCACTATCCCTTAACCCCATGACGTTTCACTCAGAGGTCAAGGAATAGACGATAGGGTTAGAATTTAGGCGCTGATTTTTGGACTATTCGACCGCAGCCCCTCTCTCGTCTGGGCACTAAGAAAGGAGCCCTCAGCCAGAGCAGCAGCAGCCAACACATTGCTGACTGTTGCTATCTGTAAACTATGCCGCCGAAACATAATTTCAGCCAATCAGTGTCGTCAGATCTGATGGTCATAGGGCGCCAATTTCAGCGCCCGATGCAGTTCTGTGAGTTGTTTGGAATCGTATCCAAGGTGACGCTACGTAGTTGATGAGGATGGCTGCGTGTGCAGGTGGAGACTCCGGACCTCGGTCCCCACCCAATTCCGTCCAAGCACTACTATCAAATCCTTTTGAAAGGAGAAGTTTGGGAGAGAAATTGTTGGTTAAAGACCTTGGACCGGACCAACCCGATTTGTTTATTTAATTTATTTCCTTCTTTTCCTCCAGATGTTGTAGTTCTCTAACTGGCCTGTTGAGGGCATCCTCTGCCTTCCTTAAACCTAAAGATCTCCATCTCTCTCTCACACACACACACACACACACACACACACACACACACACACACACACACACACACACACACACACCACACACAACACACCACACATATAATGTTCATATTTAGTCTCCTGATTTTAAATGGGAATTAAATCATTTGAGTGTTCCCAAAGCACCAGTGTTCTGCAGTTTGTGTGGGCCTACTGTACTGTTGCACAGTTTATACTGTAGAAACTATGTCCAGGACAAGGTATTTGAACGTTTTGGAAGATTCATAGCTAACCACACTGAAGATTATCTCATATTTTTAAGCCTCAATTTGTCAAATGTTTTTGCAACTAAACTTCCTTAAAAGAAAAGTACTCTTGTATATTTAGGACATCATGATTGCCACGAATGACATGCAGAAAAACATTGAATTAATGATACTAAAAAACTAAATCTCCTTATCAGGATATATCAGTGTGTCTGAAGGTTTCATACAGCAAAGTTAGTCAGAAGGCAAGTTGTAGTAACGTTAATATTTTCTGTGCATTTTTTATTCACTTTGCTCCTTGTTGTCTCTTCAATTTCCCATTGCATTGAGAATTAGTTCTTAATTTGCAAATACTATCCCCAGAAAGTTTGGAAATGTGGAATAGCATTTCAAAAGCACTGTGTGAATACAGGTTGTGATTATAGACGGAAAGTATGAGACTCTGAAACACCACGATACACAGGAAATGTCATGTGGTTAGGGTGGGTGGGTGAGTAAAGTCGTCACAAACACTCAGGTCTCAGATTATACTATAAATATTCCTTCTGTGGGATTATTATCATTTTGACCCTAGAGCTAATGTTGTTAAATGTGTCTTTTATATCCACTCTGAACCACATCTGTTGTTTGAGCATTGAACATTCAGAGAGATAAAAAGCTGATCTGCTTTTGACCAATTCATCCATTAAAAGAGTGATTTTAAAAAAGGACTCACAAAAAGGAAGTGACATTTTATTTAAAACAGGAAGTGCATCTTTCTCTCTTCTACAGAGTCATTAGTTCAGAGACGTCAGTTGAGGGCGTGAGAGCGAGAGACAGAGACGCAGAGACACGATGGTTGAATTGAGACGGATTAATACGACTTTAGTGGTGATACTGCTGCTTCAGTTTACAGGTAAGGATGAAGAACACATACATGACCTAAAGAAACTTTAACTCAGCACAAATGTAACAGTACTACCTGGATCTACAATCGTTATGAAGGGGGAACAACAATAGAGCTGATTCATCTTGGGAAGATAAGTACAGATGGGATTAACAAAGCTGAAGCAGACAGACTGAGTGTTACAGAAGAATGTTCTCTGCTTATAAAGAAGGTCACAGAGGAGGATCGTGGTCGTTACACCTGCAGACAGTTTCCAAAATCAGGAGGAAAACAACAAGGTCCAGACTTTCAGGTTCTTCTGTCTGTTATTGACAGTGAGTATAAACATCATAATGTTTTCCTCTCTTACTGTCAATATACTATAACAATAATTATAATTACAGTGGTAAAGTTAATTATACTCTTGTTGTCTTTCTCTCACATTATCTCCACCTTCAGTGACTGAGAATAAGGACAATGATTATGTCACCTTGTTCTGCGCTGTGTGGAAATACAATGAGTGTCAGCACACAGTGAAGTGGGTGTACGAGGCTAATCAGAGTGGCGTGGAGATAAGACCAGCTCCCTGTTCATCCATAGTGACATTTTCTTCTCATCTTAATCAAAAGTCGCTGAAGTGTAACGTGACAGTTACTAAGGACTGGAGAAACTCTGCTGTGTGATGCTGGACCCCCAGAGTCCTCGTGTCAGAAAACGGGGTACATTTGACTTTATTATTTTATTACGTCTCATTTGTTGTCTTCTGATATTAAGTTTGTTTGTATCCTGTTGTGTTTGTTATTTAATTGAATCCTTCACCAAAAGGAGGGATACCAGAGGGAGAAAGATCAAGAGGGAGAAAAGAAAGGTAGAAGCTCTACCGCTCTCTCTCTCTCTCTCTCTCTCTCTCTCTCTCTCTCACACACACACACACACACACACACACACACACACACACACACACACACACACACACAACACACACACACACACACACACACACACCCAATCAGAGCAGACTGGGCTCTGGTTTCAGACAGAGGGTTGAAAAGAGGTGCTGCAGCACAGGCAGTATGAGAAAAAGAGCTTTTTGAACATTATAGCATGGAGACATGTCCCAGGAGAGACACTACATTACTGATATACACCTGAACATTCAGCAGGAGAGGACTCTTTAAAGTAGAGGACACTACATACTGATATACACCTGAACATCAGCAGGAGAGGACTCTTTAAAGTAGAGACACTACATACTTGATATACACCTGAACATCAGCAGGAGAGGACTCTTTTAAAGTAGAGACACTACATACTGATATACACCTGAACATCAGCAGGAGAGGACTCTTTAAAGTTAGAGACACTACATACTGATATACACCTGAACATCAGCAGGAGAGGACTCTTTAAAGTAGAGACACTACATACTGATATACACCTGAAACATCAGCAGGAGAGGACTCTTTAAAGTAGAGACAACTACATACTGATATACACCTGAACATCAGCAGGAGAGGACTCTTTAAAGTAGAGGACACTACATACTGATATACACCTGAACATCAGCAGGAGAGGACTCTTTAAAGTAGAGACACTACATACTGATATACACCTGAACATCAGCAGGAGAGGACTCTTTAAAGTAGAGACACTACATACTGATATACACCTGAACATCAGCAGGAGAGGACTCTTTAAAGTAGAGACACTACATACTGATATACACCTGAACATCAGCAGGAGAGGACTCTTTAAAGTAGAGACACTACATACTGATATACACCTGAACATCAGCAGGAGAGGACTCTTTAAAGTAGAGACACTACATACTGATACACCTGAACATCAGCAGGAGAGGACTCTTTAAAGTAGAGACACTACATACTGATATACACCTGAACATCAGCAGGAGAGGACTCTTTAAAGTAGAGACACTACATACTGATATACACCTGAACATCAGCAGGAGAGGACTCTTTAAGTAGAGACACTACATACTGATATACACCTGAACATCAGCAGGAGAGGACTCTTTAAAGTAGAGACACTACATACTGATATACACCTGAACATCAGCAGGAGAGGACTCTTTAAAGTAGAGACACTACATACTGATATACACCTGAACATCAGCAGGAGAGGACTCTTTAAAGTAGAGACACTAAATACTGATATACACCTGAACATCAGCAGGAGAGGACTCTTTAAAGTAGAGACACTACATACTGATATACACCTGAACATCAGCAGGAGAGGACTCTTTAAAGTAGAGACACTACATACTGATATACACCTGAACATCAGCAGGAGAGGACTCTTTAAAGTAGATACACTACATACTGATATACACCTGAACATCAGCAGGAGAGGACTCTTTAAAGTAGAGACACTACATACTGATATACACCTGATCATCAGCAGGAGAGGACTCTTTAAAGTAGAGACACTACATACTGATATACACCTGAACATCAGCAGGAGAGGACTCTTTAAAGTAGAGACACTACATACTGATATACACCTGAACATCAGCAGGAGAGGACTCTTTAAAGTAGATACACTACATACTGATATACACCTGAACATCATCAGGAGAGGACTCTTTAAAGTAGAGACACTACATACTGATATACACCTGAACATCAGCAGGAGAGGACTCTTTAAAGTAGAGACACTACATACTGATATACACCTGAACATCAGCAGGAGAGGACTCTTTAAAGTAGAGACACTACATACTGATATACACCTGAACATCAGCAGGAGAGGACTCTTTAAAGTAGAGACACTACATACTGATATACACCTGAACATCAGCAGGAGAGGACTCTTTAAAGTAGAGACACTAAATACTGATATACACCTGAACATCAGCAGGAGAGGACTCTTAAAGTAGAGACACTACATACTGATATACACCTGAACATCAGCAGGAGAGGACTCTTTAAGTAGAGACACTACATACTGATATACACCTGAAAATGTGCAGAAAGTTTCCTCTTTATCAACTTAATGCTTTTTTGAAAGACATTCAAATGAAGACTCAGTCAATGAATACATGATGGATGTGCTAACTAAGATTTGTAATTAACAGAAACTGATTCATTTGCAAAGTACGTTTTTAAAACTGCAGCTGAAATATACCTAACATTTTATTCTCCTTCCAGGTGAGTGGTGGTGGTACATCGTTGCGGCTGTGGGTTTAGCAGCGCTCTTAATAGTCATTGTGGCGGTCATCAGATGGAAGAAAACTAAAGGTGAGAGCATTCACTAATGAAATGTTACAATAAGACTTTTTGATAAACCAGAATTTTTACTGTGGAAACTAAAGTTGACTCTTTTGACTTTTCAGGGGACCGACCACGTATGGATGACAGGATCGTGAGTTTAACCCTTGTTTGTTGGTTGTTCTTCCAATTACTAAACTGACTATGGTTCTAAAATAAACAGTACTCAACGTGTTGCATTGAAACTACCTGACCATGCAAAAGTCTACAATCAAACTAGAAATGAGCTCAAGAAGCAGAGCACGTGGATATGCATTAACAGCAAGGCACACATAATAAGTATCCATTGATATGAATGTCAAACTTTAACTAGAGTGTATTTGTGCAGGAACAGGGCCTTAACCCTGCAGTGACTCAGCCAGGTCCAGAAAACACGGTGAGATTTTCCACCACACCCATCTCAAAGTTACACCCACTACTATCTATATTTGTTCTCCTAAATGTCGCAGTAAGAGAAGCGCTGTTTGATTGTGTTTCTCTAAACGGGTTCAACTTCCCTTTGCCACAGAGAAAAAGAGAAGTACAATGATGCAGCTAAACTGAAATGTGACTTTGCAACCATTATGTTGTCCTCCCTGTGTAGGCGGATCGTGAAGAGGATGTTTCCTACGCCTCCGTCAGCTACAGCAAGAACACCAGCAGCAAGAACACCAGCAGCAAAGCCCAGGTGAGGTTTGATGGGTTACACAGGTGTTGGAAGTGAAGGAACAAACAAGCACACGTGGTGTTGTTTTTGCTTAATGCATGCAGCATGCTAATCTCATCCATAATGCTAGCAGACTGACAGCAGGTGCTCTGCAGAGTGATGTATGTGGACTTGGAATACTGCCATATTGACTCCACTTTTATAGGAGTGGCGTAAATGCATCAATCCCCTAACTAACTGCACCAAGGTCACATGATTTCACGTCACCAACGCTTAGTTTAAGGAAGCTAATGTTTGGCACACACACACACACACACACCACACACCACACACCCACACACACACACACACACACACACACACATACACACAACACACACACACACACATAGACACACACACACATACACACACACACACACACACACACATACACACACACACCACACCACACACACACACACACTCACACTGACACTCACACACACACACACACCACACCACACACACACCACACACACACCACACACACACACACATACACACACCACACACACACACACACACACACACACTCACACTGCACTCACCACACACACACACACACACACTCACTCACCCCACACACACACACACACACACACACACAACCACACCCACACACCCCAACCACACCATACACACACTACACACACTCACCTCACACAAACACACCCCACACACCCATCACACACACCACACACACACACACACACACACACACCCACACACACACACACACACCACACACACACCACCCCACACACACACACACACACACACTCACACACACACACACATATACAAGTACCAATCAAACCTATTAATTCTAAAATCTTACTCATTCCATAACACTTTATTACTATTTAACTATCTACTGATAAGCGTGTGTAATCTTTGCCATGATCCCTATCTTAGATCAGCATCTCAGCATGCTAACATTTGCTAACTAGCATTAACTGAACCAAAGTCCGTACTGAACTGGGAAGAGGCGTTTAGTTACGCTGCTCCGAAGCATGGAGCCAGCTTCAAACTGAGCTGAGACTCAGAGAGCTGGTCTCAGTAACACACTAGAAGCTACTCTAACTGACCTTGAAGCAGGAAGCTGTGTCTGTAAATGCTTTGGCTAAACTTGGTGTATGACTGTGTTGTGATTGTGTGTTTTAAAATGGTCTGTAACTGTGCTGTAACCATTCTTGGACCAGGACTCTCTTGAAAAATAGATTTGTTATCTCAATGAGACCTATCCTGGTTAAATAAAGGTACAATAAAATAAACACAATGCACAGACTTGCTGATGGGCATTGGCAGTATTGAAATCTATATTTTGACCAGCAGATGGCTCTGGATTAAAAAAGCTAAAGGGCCCATTTCATCCTGAGAGCCGCATGTTATGGATTTCGGAAATACATTTAATAACTGTTGTAAAAAACACACAAATGGCAAAACTCCTGAAGGCGCTACTGGGAAAATAAGGAGATCACCTTTTTTCATTATGTTGTGTTTTGTAGGTTTTGTTGGATTTATTTATTTTGTGTTGTTTAATGTCAGGTTTCTTAGCACTGTCTTCTTTCACCTTGAATTATGCCGTGTCACATCATGTTGTGCCATTGATGACTGTTCCCTTTTGTTTCCCAGGGTCAGAGTAAGGAAGATGATGAAGAAGATGATTTAGTGACCTACAGCACGGTGAAAGCTCCTTCTTCTTCTTCTTCTGCTGGAGCCTCCGCTGATCCCAGTAGCCTCTACGCTACCGTCAACAAACCAACAAAAGAAGCGGTGACAGTTACAGCTCATGTCGAAACATTGATTTCACATTGAAAACCAAGTATTTTTTATTCTGTGAGGCCCTTTAACTAGAAATCCACTCACTGTGTTACTGATATTCATTGATACCTTTGGGCAAATTGTCTCCGCAGTTAAAATCCTGCAGAATATTGAATATCTATTTGTATAAATGTACATAATCCCAATGCTCTTGCCAGATTAAAGACAATGTTATTGATATATGAAGGAGCTCATCTGCATACTGTATGGTTGTTATTGTTAGTGTGTAAATATGAAAGTAGCTTTTTTGGGTTATTAAATTAACATATAATCACTTATCTTTGTGTTCATCTATTTGTATGAACATCTTCAGGATGTATTGCTGTAGAAGCCTTTCTGCCCAGGAGGGGGTGCTGTTTCAGAGTGTAGAAAGTAGATGTGGAGTCAGCTATGTGTTGTTTTCTGATAGAGAGGTGAAGACCCTCCGTTCCGGGGACCTCCATGGGACCTTATTTCCGAAAAGTTATGCATTGAAGTCAATGGAGAGAGAAAGATTATCTTTCGATCCGTTTTAATTGTGCCACGAATTACACATTGATGTTCGTCAATTTAAAAGATAGTAAAAAATTAAAATGTGAAGTAACACTTTTTTTGTGTGAAACCGCTCAATGAACTACATCTCCCGTCTCGCACCACACACCAAGACGGCCGTCACGTTGGCACATTTCACTTCTTTCTTTCAGAATGAGGCGGAAAATATTAAAAGAGGTGAAAATCACTCCAAGTCTGGGCATGTTGAGAGCTGCACATACACACAAGGGGAGTTAGTCGGTTCCTAAGAGCCAGCATGCGGGACCGGGATTCTGGGATTTGTAGTCTTTCTAGTTGCGTATTTTTCATAGTCTTATATTTCAACAGTTTTACGACAAACTGTGACTTTTTTGACATGGAAATTATTATTTAAGATTGACAAACATCATATGTGTAATTCATGGCACAATTCAAACGGGATCGAAAGATACGTTTTCTCTCCCCATTGACTTCAATACATAATTTTTTCCGAAATAAGGTCCCATGGGGCGGAAGTAGAAGG